CAGTGCTTGATGCCTGCATCGAGTGCATGTTAATTCCCGTTAAATAATATTAATTATCATGGAACGCGAAAGTTTAAAAGCGTTTGGCAATCAATTAAAACTTTAACCCTTACCAAAAAAAAGTACTACTAATTAAAGATAGTTTGTCATGAAGGCAATCACTCAAGTTAAGCTATTTTACCTCAAAAAAATTGCTATAATTTTTGGTTACAGATGACGCGCCGTTCAGTAATATAAACGCTTATAATATTCACGACGTGAGCGACTGGAAGGACTTGAACCTCAAGTTCATACTGCAAGTGATCCGGGACTACCGCCTGTTGAGAGGACACACGGCGCCCTTTGGCAACGAAAGGTACCGCTCTATGGCGTACATTGACGACGTCAAGGAGGGTACTGAGGACGACTTGTACTCCCGCAGTACGGGACAGACCGACGACGGTGACACCACCATCGAAGAATCGCCGGCCTCCACCGAAGAGTCCACTCCCGCAGTCACCCCCGCGAAGCCTTGTGGCGTCGGCGATATATTAGATCTATTGTACAGGTAAAATAGCTATATTATGCTTAAGAGGAAAAATGCCGACGTCATACAAGTCACGTAATTCATTGCCATTTTTTTAGTATACATTGCAGTATTTATAGAACTATTTAGAGTTTATCATATTTTATAAACTAAAAGCGTAAGGTCATGACTGATTGTTTCTAATACTTGTTAAAACCCTAGTTCTTTGAAATGAACTTTAATACACCGAGTTTATATTAGTTATATATAGTTGTTATGTATTATTTTGGCAAAAAAACCGTCATCAAAATTAACTAATTTAATTACTGCTTCAATTATTGTAGTTAATATGTTCAAATCTGGCTTAGTATTTACAATTTTCTAAATTATATTGCCCACTTAGTTGGGTGTATTTCGTAATACACCTAATGTGAAAAAGGTGAACTATATGAAATATTTGAATACTTGAGGGATTCTGTTACAATATGTGTATGATGTATATATATGGTAGGTATGGATTATAGTACTTTATACTCTATACTTATACATATATGTAAATTGGAGTAAATGCAAGGTGACGAGAGTAATATAAGAGTCATTTTGAACGAAAGAGAACAAAAAGGTTCAGACACAACCTGATGCTTTGTATGTCCAGAAGTTAATATTGCATTCTCTAACTTCAGTATCTTATTCATAGGAGTGCAGAGACGGAGGCGGAAGAAACTGAGAGTCATCCACCGCCCGAACGTGCGACAGCGGTGTGGGAGGCGAAGCGGTACATCGCAGACATGTACCCTGCTTGCATGGTGCTGCTTCGACAGGCTCTACGCTGGGACGTGGACGGTGATGGTCTTATCGAAAATAGCGGATTTCCCGATCAAACATTTGATGCTTGGGTCATGTCGGGACCGAGGTAAGACCATGTACAGATTTTAACTATTTCAAATTTTATAATCCTTAGTACCTAATATTTTCCTACCAAAATGTAGATGTCCACACAATACCAATACCAAAAAACTCTCGATCTCAAACTGTCATTAAAGGTATTTTCGTAATAAAGTATTAAATATCCAACATTGACTACAATGTGATTAAATGGTATTTAATCGAAGATTGAACCGGTAATATGCTAGTCTTAGTAATACTTTACAATTTACTACGAAAATACCTTTGATGACAGTTGCGAGATTTCTGCATTTCTGAACATCTTTTTTTTAAACCTTGGTCATTGTATACTTTTATCAAAAAGAACGGACTTGACTAAATTGAAATTCATTTTATACATGTAGAATTAAATTTTAGTTAAACGTTTACACTTTCTACAAGCTATCTCAATTTAAACATAATAATTCACTCATTACAAGTTAATTATTTGATTTTCAGTTCGTACTGCGGTGGCCTTTGGGTGGCATCAATAAGTGCAGTGTGTGCCATGGCCCGTATCCTCGGCCACGACGAAGATGAAAGAGAGTTTTCAAAATTGTTGGACCAGGCTCGTCACTCGTTCGAAGAAAAACTATGGAACGGATCGTACTATCTATTCGATACGAAACCGTCCAATAGCTGCGTGGTGATGGCTGATCAGTTGGCGGGACACTGGTAAGGATAGACCAAGATAAGGCAGTAGACCGCTATAGAATAACCAAAACTTGTCTTTAAGCAATTATACTTTTAACGGACATGGTTCACCGGTGTATCATTTTTCACATTTTTTACACATACAAAATATTAGATATTCCTATTACCATAAAAGCGAAAGTTTGGGTGGATAGATGTTTGTTACTCAATGGCGCCAGAACGCCTATGAAGAGATTTAGATAAAATTTGGCACAGTGGTAGATTTTAGTCTGGAAAAGCACAGTGCTATTTTCATCCTGGCAAAGTTGATTAAAAAAATAACTTGTGTAAAATATATTTCAATTTCCACAAAGATCCACGTCTTCTGAATCGATTATTGTGCTATAATCTCAAACAATGAATGTTGTCTGTATGATCTGAGCCTTTAATCATATTTACGTTCTGATGTTGCCATGTTTTTTATGTTATAGGAGGCAAAAGAGCATTGCCTGAAGAGCAGGCCATGCTTTTGTTGCTCTTCACCCAATGCTCGTTTTCTACAACACTTCCCACACTAGTTTTCTATTATGTAAAAGCTGGTATAGATAAAAGAAGAAATATAACTAAATGTTTCGATAAGTTACAATTTAATTTATGTCTTCTCGATTTCATTGTTGTACGTAAAACGTTTTTCGTTTTAAGGTTCCTACGTGCATCAGGGTGGACGGAGCAAGTATTCCCGGAAGCACATGTCCGCAAAGCGTTATCGAGTATCTTCGCACACAACGTGCAGCAGTTCAAAGGAGGGAAAATGGGAGCGGTCAATGGTTATGTGGTCGGTGCCAGGGGACATATTGATACCACTGCTCTTCAGAGTATGGAGGTCTGGGTTGGTGTGACATATGGACTTGCAGCACTTATGATATATGAAGGTATGTATGTGGCTATATAACATCACTTGTCATGAGCACAATACATGTATGTCGGTTTTCGTGGTATATAGTAGCTTATGTCCTTCATCAAGAACACAACCCCCTTAAAGGATGATTTCTGTGTTAAAAACTATCCTATGTCCTTTCACGGGATTCAAATTATCTCTATACCAAATTTCACCTAAATCGGTTCAGCGGTTCAAGCGTGAAGAGGTAACAGACAGACACACACTCACATTTATAATAGAGGATAGAATATTACACATCCATGTACTATAGTATATGGATGTATAATATTCTAGCCTCTCCTAATTTTCATACTTTCGCGTTTCATGATAAACATATAAATAATTTGAGCGAAAGTCAATCCTGCCACAATGGTCAGTGTAACCTGGTCGAAATATATTATATTGCAGGATGTATCCAAGAATGTAATACAATTAGTATTTTATACCTCGATGATTCCAAACAGTTTGTATTAGGTTGTGAGCTATAAAGCATTTATTTTTAATCTTTGTCAATAATTATTGTTTCAGGAATGCACGAGGAAGCATTCCTTACTGCCGGAGGGTTGTACAAGATGTTAACTGAAATGGGCCTGTCTTTTGAAACACCGGAGGCGCTGTATGAGAACGGCAACCATCGCTCCATAGCGTACATGCGTCCATTAGCGGTGTGGGCTATGTACCAGGCTATAATAGCGAGGCCGCCGCCCGCACAACCCATAGCTAATGGCCACCTACACCACAACAAAGATAAAACTGCATTATAGTAACGTGTATAAGCTTTCTGTTGGTGCATCATGTATATTTATTTCACATGTCAATTTGAGGTAAAAAAAGAACATCTCTTAAAATCTTTTTTAAGAAAATATGAAATGAAAGATTATAACAAAAAATAATTAAAAAATTATTTTAGTTATGAGCGTCATGTTGTGATCAATTTATCTGATTCGCAAACGAGGAGATAATTTTAGGGATAGTTAACAGGAGTTCTTTGCCACCCTCTACTTATCGCCAAATTATAAAATGATATTTTTATAATAGAGTGAGATACTTTTTTTTTTATGAAATACTTACATATTTTTTATATATTACATGAATTTTAGGATTAATTTTAATCAGTTCGGTTATTGAATATATTTTTATTTTATGTAATTATTTATACTTTAGTTTCTAAAATTATTGTTATATTTTGAACTTATACATGAATGTACAGAAACAAGAATATATATTATTTAAGCAAATTGATCGTTTTGTCTGAAATCTTAATAGGCTGAAATATTTTTTACCTTTGGTACAACAACTTGAACTGAATATACAATAGTAATGTTTTTGCCATTTCTGATAACGGCTAGATTGGCTAGTTATATACTTACTTTTGTACATTGATAATAATAATGGTGTAAGTTTAAAAATAGGGAATTTTAATAATGTGATACATTTTATCTTATCAATGCCGCTTGTTCATATCCATTATTATTATTTATTTTAGCAAGCAAAATCTGGTACTAGTAAGCGATAAAGGGTTGAGTGTTACCCTCAAATTATTATCTGAGTGTAACATTATAAAAGTCAACTGTCAATCTCTGATTCACAGACGGGATATTGGAAGACGAACTATCATATACTATTTTCAACTATCCTTTCTGTATATCTGTTTCCCGGGTGTGACAAATAATGCATTTGTCCTTTTTTTAACTTTACTGTTTACTTTGCATAACATATATTCATGTTTTAGTTTGCCTTTATTTCCACAACGCGTTGTGGTGGTATAACATGACAGCCATCACACGAGTGTCTCTTTAAGCTTTTTTTTCTTTCTGTGATGCCACAACGTGTTGTGAAATATTTTTCGTATAAATGATATTTGACCGATACTGCACATATAAATACTTACTACTATTTATATATTCATTGCGTTAAATTTATTGCGTTAAAGAACTGTATGCTTCTATTGTTTTTTCCACGTTTGTCGCACGTGTTGTCGTTGAAGGCCATCTTATAATAAAAAATAAAATAATAGGTACTTTCTTACGTTAATAATAGGGAATATGCACGTGACACCAAAATGGACAAAATATTTATATTTGTAATTTTTATTGCTAAAAAAAGATACCCATACAATTATTTTTGAAATTTATTATAATTTAATAGTGAAACTTAATCATCAAAAATTGGCTTTTTTAAGATTCCCTTACGCTATTGGTTGAATAAAACGTGACGTCAACCTACACTGTCAAGAGTGTCAACAAGTTGTGTGTATTTGTAATATTTGGTTTCTGGTGATTATTTGTTTCATTTTAAGTTAATAACTTATACGTTTTCAGTGTTAAATTATTAAATTCCCGTGTAGAAAGACTCAACATAATGACTGAATATACTTTGTCAGGTGCAGTTTTGATATTATTTGGGCACAAAGGGACGGCACAATATTTATAATAAGTTTTTATTGGCTTTTCCATGGTAATAAGTTAATTTTTATCACTCACTTTTTTAACTTTCACAAACTTTGTGAACTTCACTCCGTTGTTGACATCGAATTCGTCTGAAAGTGTAATCTGACGTCACAAAAAAAGCGCGCCAAAATGGACGTGTTCAAATTGCCCCAAAATGATAGTGAATTTAATAATTTTTTTTTGCTTAACGTTTTATATTTCGGATATTTATTTCTGGTAATGTAATAACTAGTAGAATCGTTAAAAAAAAAATACATGCATATTCCCTATTATCTATGTACTTAGTTAAATTCGATGTAGATCTCTTTGGTAAAAAATGAAAATTAGCTCCCTTTTATTTTATTTATTTTCAAAGACACGTAAGCGTTCAGTAATCGCTTACTGTATGATTCTTGTGTGACTTATACGAAGATATATGAATTTCCTGTATTTGTAGACAAAAAATCTCTAGAAAGAGCATAAATGTTTCGAGCTCTTGCATCGATTTTGGCACTAGTATATTCTTCTGTCCCTGTTTTGACGGATTAAGAATACGGAGTGTCACCACCCCTATTCATGCCGTGGGTGTCGTAAGAGTCGACCAAGGGAGCAAACTAATAAGGAAAACAGCAAAGAGAAGGAAAACTTGACCCAAAAACCCTATACCAACCTGTCTGGCTAGCGTGGTATAGTAGGCCAAAACCTCCTTTCTAAGGAGAGGACTATGTCCAGCAGTGGACCATTAAAGGCTGTTGATGATGATATTCTTCAGTATTTGTATAAAATTGAATCGAGTTTATATCCAACCTAACTCTTAATGTCTAAGTGAAATAATAGTACATTTTAATATGGTTGGGTATTAATTTAGTGTGCTAAAGCGCGTGCAATAAAATTGTGGAGTCGTTGAATTTTGTTGAAGTTAAAAAAGAAATACAGATAAGCCTGAGAGGCGCATGTGTCGTATGAACGACATCAGCATTTAAATAATATTAGGATATACAATACAATAATTAGGTTTCTAAATTATTTACATCGACTACAAGGCAATAATAATATAATTAAGATTATGTAACTTCTTTATTACAGGTAGTTAGTAGATATTTTAATAGTTCAAATTTTGTTAGTAGTTAGTTCGTTTAACTTTGACTGCACGATTGAGCCAGTGGTTGAAGCTGTCATCCCGTCAACTACCCTCTCCTTCATAAACCACTATTATTTTTGTGATTTCCGAATATCTATTTGTATCGTGTCTGACTGTAGACATTTCTACACTAGTTATCCGGATAATACATATTTATAAATGTATATAGAAACAAGTTTTACTATTACATTTTTTTATCTACACCTATTTCTATTTTAGGAACTAGAAGATACATGTGTACCTTCTAGTATCTGCATGTGCATCTTTAACTTTTTTTAACGCTGAGACTTTGGGTCCGGAATTATGTGTAGTTACATGGCTTTTTGAATTAGCATCAAATATTTAAAAAAATCATGATGAGACGGTAATTTCCCACACACAGGTAATTGTTCTATGAGGGATAGGTATAACCCAATACACAAATTGGATGTTGACAAGGTGACCGCTGTACAATCCTTGTCCTCCGTCAGGTCAATAAAAATGAATATACAACACGTTCCTTACCTATTTCTAAGGTGTTAAACTGCTAATTTCGTTTCTAAATCAATGAAATTGTGAACGAATTTGTCGTTTTTTATTTTGTTAGGAAAAATCTTGTTTAAAACAAGTAATTTATTTTCTGTATATGTATTTTATGTCTTTAATTTACTATTTACTGGCTTACCTATTGTTTTATAACATAGGTGCCAAAATAAAGTAATAACAAACTTAAACAATTTTTATTTCCTGTGCCGTAGATTCGCATTTGTTCTTTATTTTAGTATACTAGTAATACTGTCAATACCTACAAACCAATTGTAATATTTTTTTTCCTTTAGGGAAATTCCCTCGGATATAACCCACCGGTGGAGTGATTGTGACGCACTCGAACCGACCAAAAACCGCACGCCGTCTCGGGTAACAGTAGCCGGGGAACCAGGTGTAGCCTAGAAAGGAAATCCCTCGGGGGGAAATCCCCCCTTGTGTGGGAAACCCTATGTTCCGTTTGTGCTCCCGAAAAGGCCGAAAACCCGGGACGGAGGTCGTTCTGCGACCTCCGGTGCCTGAGTCGTTTGCGGTACCTGGCCCGTTCCCGAGCCTGGCGGGCCGGGAGAGATATTTTGAAAGTACTTAAACACCATGTAAAAATGAAATTGATTACATAATAAGCAAGCACTCTAAAGCCTTTACAGATACCACGGTTATTAGCAAACTTAATTTTAGTCACCGAATGGTGAGATGTTCCTTTAGAAAGTGTCGAACAAAAACCCCTCGCAGACACATAAAAAGCCATAAAAACGAAAAGCAAGCACAACTCAACTTAGAAAACACAAAGCCTCTCAAGAAAATAAATGAACAAATCACAAATAAGAATATGAACACAATTCAAAAATATAACATCCTAGAAAGGGAACTACAAAGCTTTATCTAAAGAAAACAGTCAAAAAAACAAATATCAACTAAGCACACAGACAGTGCAATTGGGTCAAAATCACCAAGGTGGAAAATCAGCTTTACTTGAAAATAGCTGCCTCATTGCGTTTTTTTTTAAACAAATTATTATTTGTAAATACTGTAAAGGGTTCATATTAACCGTACCTCATATATTATACTTTAAAAGTAAAACATATTCATTATTATTTGAAGAAATAACTACAAAAAATCATTTCGAGAACGCGTCCTAAGTAGCAATCTTTAAAAACTAACACCGGAAATATACATAAAATAAAATAAATTTTATGGTTTTTCTTACTTATTAGCCTTAAATTTTATCTACTATTAAGTAATTATATGCATTATTAAAGAGAGAAAAGAAACTAAGGATAATTAAGTCAAAATATTATGTCCGACAATGTAAGCGTCATTTGAGTGAACACAGTTTTGATTGCCCGAAAATATTGTGTTTCTGAACGTGGTCTGTAGATGTTTATGGTGCAGTGTAATGAAAGATGTAAACAAAGTGGCAGTCAAGAAAGTTTCTCGCCAAAATAATTAAAAATAAGTGGTAAGTACCTTTCGATTCATTATTTACAGAGCGTACATCAATAGGTCATCATACCGGGAATGCGTTTATTAGGTCAAAATGAATGAAAAATACGTATAATAGGGTCTATAACGAATAGTAATCCCAAGTATTTTACATTAATTAAACCAAACATGATGTCAAAGGTGGCGGCCTTTTGAATAAAGGCGCGTTTATTTATAAAGTCATTTC